CTTATTCGGCAAGAAGAGCGTTGCAATTTAAGCCAAAATCGTTAGTTTTACCTATTAGGCAAGACATTATATATATATATATATATATATATATATATATATATATATATATATATATATATATATATATATATATATATATATATATATATATATATATATATGTCGTGCCGAATAGGCAGAACTTGCGATCTTGGCTTAAATAGCAACGCTCATTTTGCCATATAGGACAAGTGAAAATTTGTGCATGCAATAATTTCGCCAAAATCATTCTGAACCTAACGAAAAAAATATATTTCACTGTGTTTGTTTAGTATTAAATTACTGTAAACAAATCTAAAATATATTTAGTTAGGTTAGGCTAAAATAAATTGTTTTTGTTATAATAAGGTTAGGTAAGTTTTTTAAGTTCCTTTTGGTGCAAAATTATAAATTTTTACATCAACATTAATGAAAAAAATATATCTTTAAACGTATAAGAGAAAATTTCAGAAAGAACTTAATTTTAAATGAGTTCTTGCTAATTGACCAGTTTTACATATTCGGCACGACATATATATATATATATATATATATATATATATATATATATATATATATATATATATATATATATATATATATGCAATAAGATCACAATAAAGAGATATCACAATATGCAGAACCACCACTGTGAAAAAATAGTGAAATTCCAAGCGCTTTGCTTTCATGACTTCTCACATTATCAAGTTCCTTGATAATGTGAGAGCGGGAGACTATTTCCCGGTAAAAGTAGGTCTTAGACAGGGATGTGTAATGTCACCATGGTTGTTTAATATATTTATAGATAAGGTTGTAAAAGAAGTAAATGCTAGGGTGTTCGAGAGAGGGGTGGGATTAAATTATGGGGAATCAAATACAAAATGGGAATTGACACAGTTACTTTTTGCTGATGATACTGTGCTTATGGGAGATTCTAAAGAAAAATTGCAAAGGTTAGTGGACGAGTTTGGGAGTGTGTGTAAAGATAGAAAGTTGAAAGTGAACATAGAAAAGAGTAAGGTGATGAGGGTATCAAATGATTTAGATAAAGAAAAAATGGATATCAAATTGGAGAGGAGTGTGGAAGATGTGAATGTTTTCAGATATTTGGGAGTTGACGTGTCAGCGGAAGGATTTATGAAGGATGAGGTTAACCATAGAATTGATGAAGGAAATAAGGTGAGTGGTGTGTTGAGGTATATGTGGAGCCAAACAACATTATCTATGGAGGCAAAGAAGGGAATGTATGAAAGTATAGTAGTACCAACACTCATATATGGGTGTGAAGCTTGGGTTGTGAATGCAGCAGCGAGGAGGCGGTTGGAGGCAGTGGAGATGTCCTGTGTGGTGTAAATATTATGCAGAAAATTCGGAGTGTGAAAATTAGGGGAAGGTGTGAGTTAATAAAAGTATTAGTCAGAGGGCTGAAGAGGGGTTGTTGAGGTGGTTTGGTCATTTAGAGAGAATGGATCAAAGCAGAATGACATGGAGAGCGTATAAATCTGTAGGGGAAGGAAGGCGGGGTAGGGGTCGTCCTCGGAAAGGTTGGAGGGAGGGGCTAAAGGAGGTTTAGTGGGAGAGGGGCTTGGACTTCCAGCAAGCGTGCCTGAGCGTGTTAGATAGGAGTGAATGGAGACGAATGGTATTTGGGACCTGATGAGCTGTTGGAGTGTGAGCAGGGTAATATTTAGTGAAGGGATTCAGGGAAACCGGTTATTTTTATATAGCCGGACTTGAGTCCTGGAAATGGGAAGTACAATGCCTGCACTTTAAAGGAGGGATATGTTGTGTATCTTTATACGTATATGCTTCTAAACTGTTGTATTCAGAGCACCTCTGCAAAAACAGTGATTATGTGCGAGGTGAAAATGTTGAATGATGAAATTATTTTCTTTTTGGGGATTTTCTTTCTTTTTGGGCCACTCTGCTTCGGTGGGAGACGGCTGACTTGTTTATATATATATATATAATATATATATATATATATTATATATATATATATATATATATATATATATATTATATATATATATATATATATATATATTATATATATATATATATATATATATATATATATATATATATAATTATATATATATATATATATATATATAACAACACTGCGCTAGCCAAGGATTCGAACCCATGTTGTACTGGCCTGCCTTGTGGTAAGCGAGAACCACATGACGCTTTAAACCACAGGACCACCCAACCCTACAAGAATGGCGCAGCCAGCAATGCTAGCTGTTGGGCCGCCATCCAAGGGCATACGGAGGTGTGGGAGCTTCTAAGCTAATTTCATTCTCATCCCTGTTTGGTGTACTAGCCCAGTTCAACATGGGTTCGAACCCTTGGCTAGCGCAGTGTTGTTATTGATCAATACCACTCGTCCGTGGTTACAATAATACATAAATACTGCTCGTGAGGCTAGTATACCAAACAGGGATGAGAATGAAATTAGCTTAGTGCCTCCGTATGCCCTCGGATGGCGGCCCAACAGCTAGCATTGCTGGCTGCGCCATTTTTGTAGGGTTGGGTGGTCCTGTGGTTTAAAGCGTCTTGTGGTTCTCGTTTACCATGAGGCAGGCCAGTACAACATGGGTTCGAATCCTTGGCTAGTGCAGTGTTGTTATTAATCAATACCACTCGTCCGTAGTTACATGTATATATATATATATATATATATATATATATATATATATATATAAATATATATATATATATATATATATATATATATATATATATATATATTATATATAATATATATATATATATATATATATATATATATAATCTGTTGGCTGCTCCCAACTCCAGCCTTGGCACACGCCTCGACCCATAGACCATCCGAATTGGTGTTGCCCTTCGACTTGTCGCCAGTATTCTCGCCGAACACAGGTCTATTTGTGGAAATGAAGCAGCAGACCGAATCGGGTACCATGGTCTTGTGTGTCGTAAATCCGAGGGAAAGATTGCAAGACATGAGGAGGTTAATAACATTATCAAGAGGAGCACCACAACAGCTAGATGCCCACCAGTAAGGAAGCCACCCCAACTATGCAGACCTGATGGCAGCTAGAAGCGTCCAGATGGTATCACCCTTCAAGCCTGGACAGACGGCAAGCAGGTGGTGTGGGACTACACGTGTGCATCTACCTTGGCTGATACCTATCTCCAATATACCAAGGAGGAAGGAGGGGCAGCTGCCAGCTTAAGGGAGTCCTAAAAGCCTAGAAAATGAAGAGAACTTGTCCATCATTATATGTTTGCTCCCATAGGCTCAGAGACCCTTGGCTCATGGGAAGAGAGTGCATCTAAGTTCCTTAAGGAGCTAGGCAAAAGACTCATCAGGGTAACTAGGGATCCCAGGGCAGCTAGTTTTCTGTTCCAGCGACTCAGCGCTGCTGTTCAGAGATTTTCGCATTATAATCAGTGACAAACACACAACAATATGTACTAGACATGTATCTCTCACACCTCATGTACTGTGTGCCATCTTTGTATCAGCAATGTATCTCTTAAAGCTTTTGTACCATATAATAAAATATATTAAATATATTAAATATATATAATTTTCAGTAAAAATGTTTTGACTCTCTCAGGTAAGCGATGAAGGAGTGGAGGAGCCTGGGAGATAAGAAAGGTGGGAGAGCAGAGGGCGGAGTGTGTTAGAAGTGGCAGAGATGAGGTAAATGTTAATGTTTATGTTCACTGATGTCAATTTGTGGTGGTATAGCATAAGTAACATTGTATAACAACATTTAAATTTGGAAAAATATACAGTATGTGTACTATCTGTGGTCCAACTCACTAAATCAACTTAACTAGTTAAGATTACTAAAATGATGTTTTGTGTAGCATATAATAAAGTGTTTTAAGAGTGTTTTAAAGCTTTATTTCATCACGTTGACACTAAACTTATAGAACTAGTGAAGGAAGAAAACAAATTTTTATAAGTATATCAAAGTGACAAGTACTAGCATGTTAAAAATGTTAATCTAGCCTCAGTCGTGTGTAGGTCTTGCATGGCTGGTGTAGGTCCAGCTGGAATCAGCAAACATTATAAGACTCTATTTACGTGTTTCCACTACTTTAACATCTTAATGAAATTTTTCTCCATATTCATCACACGTCAGAGAGATTATCAGGAAAATAAAGTGAAAGATTTGCAGTTTGAGCGATGTGCTGCATTCAAGTCTTTGCCAACTTTGCAGCAGTTGATCTACCAGTGTCTGGTAGTTAACGTCTCTGTCTGCCAAGTTGCTAACTCCAAGTCATTCAATGTTAAGTGAAAAAAAAATTGTCATCCATGAGTTGGATCGTTTATGACTCTTCAGATACATCAGGAATAATTCCGTCTTCGCTTACTTCTGGGAATATTTCTAACAGGTATTCGAATGCTGGATGATTTATGTTTATTACCTCGACCAGTTGATGACACCAAGCTTAAGCCTCCACTCACTCGGATTACATTGTATTTCCTGGGTAGTGAATAGGTCATAAATGTCACTGCAGAAACAAAGGTTGTCCTGGACCAAAAAAAAAAAAAAGATGGTTAATTGCGCAGTGCTCTTGTGATAAACAGCTATCTGGGTTTCTTTAGTGAAAGAGTTCGAGTCCCTCACACGCGATGCTATGATTACAGAGGGTGAGAAAAACTGAGAAAACTGTAAAACTGTACTCTCATAAGTGCAAAAGCTGTGTATGATATACAGAAACGTACAGGGTGACCCAAAAGTCTGGACACATGCGGAATTTCTTTTTTGTAATAATTATGCAATAATTATCATGAATAATATCTTCATTATGTTGTCCACTGTTAGCGATTGTTACACTCCAAGTATTGTAACAACTATTTCCTTCTTTTTAGAGCATAACAAATTTTGGTCAGAGAGGTTAGGGTAATAATAATGATCTTCCGGAATGCCTAATTTTAATTAAGTATATTCATAATATAACAAAAGCCAGTTATAATATACGAATTATCGTATATAAGTTAAGAATACATGTTTCTTCTATAGTATCCAACATATACATAAGGCTTTTTGTAACAGACAATTAGGAGGAGATCCTAGATATAACATATATAAATGGAGATTACTTTAATGTATAAAGTCTTGTTTCCTAGTTGGAAGCAGTCAGAATAAAACAGAATATGTCCAGGCCGGCTAATAAACCTTGGCCAGTTACCAGAGATGAGCAGGAGTGTTCTCGTTGGCTGCTACTTCTTCACTCCTCGTCCCTCAACCTTGAGCATACAGGTAAAGTGGGTCACGTGACGTGACTCACCAACACTCAGTAGAGTAGTTGAACATAAAGGGGGGGGGGGGGAAAGGGGGGGTATAACCATCAAACATCACGGCTAACTACACACCGGCACACCGGGCGGCAGGCAGGTTACTATACCTCCAATTAAACTTATCATGGCCATGTTACAATAAATTATAATTGTTAATAAGAATTAATCTTAATAATACAAGGACGTTCATTTCCAATTTAGCTATTAAAGGAAATGACCGCAATGTAATATTAAAGGAAGGTTAACCATAGGGGCATGACACCCCGGCCCACAAGCAAATATCTCGGCGTTTAAGATGCTGATGGAGTAGAAGAAACCAACCAGCTGGTATAGGGATGGAGGTACATCATTCCAAGGTTAGTCATCCACTTGCTAGAACTGGTCCAGAAACTGCTTGACTGCAAAGAATTTCCGTAGTTAAGCCATATTAGGAGCGAGAGAGAGCATCGGCTAACACGTTGCTCGAACCCTTTATGTGAAAAATGGAGATCCGGTAAGGTTGGATCCTTAAAGCCCAGCGTAATATTCTAACATTTTTTGATTTCATAGAATTTATGAATGTCAGAGGATTATGGTCTGAGTAAATATTTATCACATGAGGAGTATAACCGAGGTATACGTCAAAGTGTTCTAAGGACAACACTAAAGCCAGGGCTTCTTTTTCTATAGTTGAATAAGATCTTTGATATTCTTTCAATTTATAGGAAAAATAACATATTGGATGTAGAATATTACCGTTTTGGAAGGATTGCAATAAAACAGCACCTATAGCTACATCACTGGCATCAACATGGAGGGTGAAAGGAATTTGGAAATTGGGTGCACGCAATACTGGGGCAGAGGAAAGGAAACGTTTTAAACGTTTAAAAGCTTGTTCACAATTCTCGTCCCAATTAAATTTATATTTAGGACTGGTCAATCTAGTCAGGGGGGAGGCAACTTGAGCAAAGTTTGGGCAAAAACGCCTGTAATAAGTAGCCATCCCCAAAAATCGTTGGAGGGCTTTCCTGTCTTGAGGAGACGGGAAATTTAAAATAGCTTGGACCTTTAATTGGTCGGGGGCTACTAGTCCCTTCCCTATTTTAAAACCGAGATATTTAATCTGGGCTTTACCAAAGTCACATTTTTGTAAATTTACAGTGAAATTGTATTTCTGCAATGCTTTCAGTAGTTGCTCTAATCTTTCTAAATGAGACTGCCAGTCATCACTAAAAACCACCAGGTCGTCTAAGTAGGCCTCTACACCTTCTAAGGGTTGGACTAAAATGTTCATAATTCTCTGGAAAGAGGAGGCGGCGTTACACAAGCCGAAAGGCATAACCTTATACGTAAATAGTCCGTTCTTAACTACGAACCCGGAAATCTCTTGGGCCCTAGGAGTTAACGGCACCTGGTAATACCCTCTCAGCAAGTCTAATCTGGTCACAAAGTTGGCACCGGCTACAGCATCTATTAAATCATCAATCCTTGGTAATGGAAACCCATCTGGTTTGGTGACTGAATTTACTTTACGGTAATCCGTGCAAAGGCGTACGGTACCATCGGGTTTTGGGACCAATAAACAGGGAGAGGCCCAAGGTGTCCAACTGGGTTCTATCAAATTATATTCCAGTAATGTATTTATTTCTTGTTGAATTAATTCTTGCTTAGCAGGAGAGACCCGGTAAGGGGATTGCTTTATTGGACTATCTTCTAACAATTCAATATCGTGGAAACCCAATGTACAAGGAGTAGGGATATCTTTGAAGATGGAGTTATATTTAGTGATTAACTCTTTGATTTGAGATTTTTGGGAGGTAGGAAGAACTTCCAGGAAATGGTCTAGTTCTTTTAAAACTTCAGAATTATGTAGTCTAAATTCTCTTACTTCACTTACAGTGTCATTCCTTATTTCAGTGGATGTAGGTTGAATAGAGGTAATAATAGTAGGGAGAAGGCTAGACTCGTACTTCTTTAAGTTATCTATGTGATACCTCTTAATTTTCTTACGACGTCCTGGTTCACGGACCAGATAATTCACCTCATTTTCTTTGTCTACTATTTCATAATGGCCCCAAATATCTAGGTTTTAAAGAATGTCCTGGAATTAAGTTTTTAACTAACACTAATTCATTCGGAGAGAATGAACGAGATTTAGCCTTTTGGTCATAAGATTTCTTCATTTTGGCTTGAGCTTCTGACAGATTCACGGCAGCTAAGCTTTTTAATTTGGAGAGAGGTTCTTTCCAAAGTAGAGGACTGGGATGAAGAGGTCCTCTCTTCCCTATCCAAGAATCTCGTAATATGGCTAGGGGTCCTCGCACCTGATGTCCAAAAATCAAGTCAAATGGAGAGTATTTAGTACTTTCTTGTTCAGCTTCACGGAGGGCGAAGAGAAGAAAGGGTAAACCTTCGTCCCATTCACGAGAATATTGCTCACAGTAAGCACGTAAAGTAGATTTAAGGGTTTGGTGGAATCTTTCTAGCACTCCTTGTGACTGGGGATGATATGCTGTAGAGATTATCTGTCTTACTCCTAATCGAGACATAGCCTCTTTAAAAACCTTAGACGTAAAATTAGAACCTTGGTCAGATTGAATTTCACGTGGTATGCCTACTTGAGCAAAGAAGCGTATTAAAGCTCTTACTATATTTCTGGAATTAATTTTGGACATTGGGATAGCATCAGGATACCGAGTTGCCATATCTATGATGGTGAAGATATACTGGTTACCCCTTTTTGTGCGGGGCAACGGTCCTACACAATCAATAACTAATCTTTCAAAAGGTTCTTCAGGACATTTTATTGGAAGTAAAGGGGCAGACGCGGATTGTGCGCCGTTTTGCCTATTATTTGACAAACGTGGCATTTCCGTAGTTTGTCAGCAATATAAGTCCTCATCTGAGGCCAAAAAAAATATTTCCTTATCTTTTTCTCTGTCTTACGAGATCCTAAATGACCTCCCAGTGGATTATCATGTGCTAGTTCAAATACCATATTACGTAAGGACGATGGCACCACTAACAAGTTTCCTTTTGAACTCAAATCATTATCATTATTTCTCTTCCAAAGAAAACCGTCTTCATCTAAAAGGTAACCTTCCTCTTTATCCTTATTGGTTAAACTTTTATCGTCCTTTAGAGCTATAAGAAATTCTTCTTTATTACATTTTCTAGCCAGGTCCGCAGGGACTGGTAAAACTTTGTCACCTGTGGGTCTCGACTGAATTGCTTCGCTAAACAGGAAGTTCAAACCTAATTCATCGGACATTTCTAAAGGCTGTTGAATATCCAAATTGTTAGAGTTCTTAGCCATGGCTCTGGTGACCACATTAAGGGGAAATAAATCTAGCCCTGCCTCAGAGGCTTCTAAGGCATAATTTACATCACAAGGATTATCTAAAACCAGAGGCTCTCTGGGTATCTCCAATTGATCAATTTCGTTCCCGATTAATAGATCCACGCCGGCAATGGGGAAAGGTTTATCTGAAAGTCCCACATTGATCCAGCCTACATATCCAGGCAGTTCTACATAAATCCTTATAATAGGGACCTTTATTATTGTGCCTCCGTAAGCCTCTAATAATACGTCTAGCCGGGGTTCTCTACTAGTAGGTAACTTTACCAGGTTTGATCTTAATAAAGAGAGATAGCTGCCAGTATCTCGAAAGGTAGTGATATTTACTAACCTCTCTTTACAGAGTCCGAACTTCCCCTGGGAAAAGTAGGGTTCCATAGCTACTCGGACCTTTTCTTCTGAAGCACTGTCGTGGTAAAGTCATCTATTAGACGGTCTGCTAGAGGAGGCCTGAAAAGGTAGAGATTCATCATCCCGAGTTTCATACTTCCGAGAGGAATTTATTACCTGGGTAGGATACCTCCCTCTTGGTTGGGTTTTATCTTCCCGCTGTTTATGCCAACACTGTGACTGTCTATGACCTAACTTTTTACAAAAAAGGCACAGTGGTAATTGATCTTTAGGATACTGTCTGGAGAAAGAGCCGTTTGTCACCTGTTTTTTGTCTGAATACACCTTCAAAGGTTCGCCAGCTGGAGCTTTCCTAGCCGTCAATCTTGAACTAAAACCTTGGGAGGTAGATTTCTTTTCCGGGGCCTTAGACATTTCTGTGGTTATAGCATGGGAAATTTCAAAGTGATCTGCGTGGGCAGCAGTATCTAACAAGTTAGTAGTGGGAAATGTCAAAAGATAAGTATGCACCCTCTCTGGAAAATATTTAAAAAGATCTTCATGCAACATCAGCTGGGAAAGTGACTCGACTGAGGCGGCTCCCGCGGCCCTACGCCAACGCTCGAAAGCAGAGAGCTTTTCCCTGGCAAAGTCCACCCAAGACTGCTGAGGATATTTCTTCAGAGTTCTAAACATCTTCAAATAACTGACAGGTAATAAATCATAAGCTTTCAGAAGACAATCTTTTACCTGAGTATAATCAGAATATTGTTCAAAAGGTAAGTTTGCAGTTATGGTTTGGGCTTTTCCTATTAAAGATGAATGTATTAAAGCAGCCCAATATTTAGGAGGCCATTGCATCACCTTCGCCTGATTTTCAAATGCTTCAAAAAAATGAATCTAAATTATCCTCCGTAAATTTAGGCATCAAAGAGGCTGCTTTACCAAGGTCAAATGAAGGGATTGTATACATATTACTAGATTCTCTTTTCTTCCTCAGTACTTCCCGTTCATAAAGCAAAGATTCACGTTCAAAATTCTCCCTTTTTAACTTTCTCTGGGCTTCTACAAAGGAGGTTTGAAGCGATAAAATACGTTCTAGACGTTCAAAATTCTCCTTAGATTGAATAGTAGTCAAAAGGGCTAAAGAGATTTGAGGTGGAACGTGTTCATCATCCAAAAGGACTTCTTGTTCTGTTTCAAAACTATCTGTAAATGGTTTACCTGGATCCGTTTCTTTAGCCTGATGGAGTTCTGTTCCCCATATAGTCCTTGGAGATGGAATTGGAGTCGTTGTAGCAGCGTAGCGTTTCCGAGTATCAGGAAGTTCATGTCCGTCGTCTCCATTAGGGGTTGTTAGCGTCGTAGTTTCGGCCTCAGGTGTCTGTAGAAAAGAATTCAAAAAGGAAGGAATATCTGCTTCTCCATTCTCGATCTCTGGATCCTGCTCATCTGGAAAAAGGACATTCTGTATCATACATCTGACTGTCTGGGCAGTGAAATGCCTGTCGTATTTTATGCCCAAGCTTCGTGCTAATTGCCAACAAGATTGAAGCTTCAAATTTTGTAATTTCTCCTTTGTTATATCTTCAAACCTCTCTGCCATTTCTACATTCATTTTAAAGGAAATTCAGTGTTATGATCCCGGACACAGGCCCCCACTTGTTACACTCCAAGTATTGTAACAACTATTTCCTTCTTTTTAGAGCATAACAAATTTTGGTCAGAGAGGTTAGGGTAATAATAATGATCTTCCGGAATGCCTAATTTTAATTAAGTATATTCATAATATAACAAAAGCCAGTTATAATATACGAATTATCGTATATAAGTTAAGAATACATGTTTCTTCTATAGTATCCAACATATACATAAGGCTTTTTGTAACAGACAATTAGGAGGAGATCCTAGATATAACATATATAAATGGAGATTACTTTAATGTATAAAGTCTTGTTTCCTAGTTGGAAGCAGTCAGAATAAAACAGAATATGTCCAGGCCGGCTAATAAACCTTGGCCAGTTACCAGAGATGAGCAGGAGTGTTCTCGTTGGCTGCTACTTCTTCACTCCTCGTCCCTCAACCTTGAGCATACAGGTAAAGTGGGTCACGTGACGTGACTCACCAACACTCAGTAGAGTAGTTGAACATAAAGGGGGGGGGGGGAAAGGGGGGGTATAACCATCAAACATCACGGCTAACTACACACCGGCACACCGGGCGGCAGGCAGGTTACTATACCTCCAATTAAACTTATCATGGCCATGTTACATAAATTATAATTGTTAATAAGAATTAATCTTAATAATACAAGGACGTTCATTTCCAATTTAGCTATTAAAGGAAATGACCGCAATGTAATATTAAAGGAAGGTTAACCATAGGGGCATGACAGCGATGCACAGTTGAACACCCTTTGCAAGATTCACATGAGCACGATGCAGTAACTCCGGTAGCTGCAAAGAAAAAAAACCAGAATATAAATAATATATCGTGTGTGTCCAGATTTTTGGGTCACCCTGTATATGCTTTGTGATGTACGCTACTTAAAACGCATAAAGATCGTAATTGTCAGGTTGTAAAACTTCCTTTGTTGTAGTGTTACTTCCAACTTAATTATCACACACACACACACACACACACACACACACACACACACACACACACACACACACACAAAGAGAGTTAAAGAAGTATTTTTAGAGGAGAAAGAAAAGACTCCAGAAAGCCGGAATGGTGGGGTACACCAAGTACTGGACACAGTACATACAACCGAACTAGATACCTCAAAGGTGATGGGGCCGAGCATCTCTTCCTGGGTCCTGAGAGAGGGAGCAGAGGCGCTCTTTCTGTCACTAACAACGATCTGCAACACATCTACCGAAAGAGGACGACTACCTGAGGTGTGGAAGACAGCAAATATAGTCACAGTTTTCAAGAAAAGAGCCAGACACGCAACACTAAACTACAGACATATATATTATGCAAAGTCGTGGAGAAGATTATCAGAAGAGTGGTGAAGCACCTAGAAAATACTGAGCTTATTCATGACAACCAGGACGGTTTCAGGGAGGAAAAATTGTGTCACAAACCTACTGGAGTTCTATGACAAGGTGACGGCGGTAAGGCAAGAGAGAGAGAGAGAGAGAGGGGTGGGTTGATTGCGGTTTCTTGGACAGTAATAAGCTTTTGACAATTCCTGGAGTTTACCTGGAGAGAGTTCCGGGGGTCAACGCCCCCGCGGCCCGGTCTGAGACCAGGCCTCCTGGTGGATCAGAGCCTGATCAACCAGGCTGTTGCTGCTGGCTGCACGCAAACCAACATACGAGCCACAGCCCGGCTGATCCGGAACTGACTTTAGGTGCTTGTCCAGTGCCAGCTTGAAGACTGCCAGGGGTCTGTTGGTAATCCCCCTTATGTGTGCTGGGAGGCAGTTGAACAGTCTCGGGCCCCTGACACTTATTGTATGGTCTCTTAACGTGCTAGTGACACCCCTGCTTTTCATTGGGGGGATGGTGCATCGTCTGCCAAGTCTTTTGCTTTCGTAATGAGTGATTTTCGTGTGCAAGTTCGGTACTAGTCCCTCTAGGATTTTCCAGGTGTATATAATCATGTATCTTTCCCTCCTGCGTTCCAGGGAATACAGGTTTAGGAACCTCAAGCGCTCCCAATAATTGAGGTGTTTTATCTCCGTTATGCGCGCCGTGAAAGTTCTCTGTACATTTTCTAGGTCGGCAATTTCACCTGCCTTGAAAGGTGCTGTTAGTGTGCAGCAATATTCCAGCCTAGATAGAACAAGTGACCTGAAGAGTGTCATCATGGGCTTGGCCTCCCTAGTTTTGAAGGTTCTCATTATCCATCCTGTCATTTTTCTAGCAGATGCAAAAGTTTGAGGACCAGGCAGATATAACAGGGAAGGGACTGCAATGGATCAGAGTTACCTGGCAGGAAGGCAACAGGCATGGTACATGACGAGGTGTCAGACTGGGCGCCTGTGACGAGCTGTGTTCCATAGGGGTCGGTCCTAGGACCGAAGTTGTTTCTGGTATATGTGAATGATATGAAGGGAGGGATAGACTCAGAAGTGTTCCCTGTTTGCAGACGTGAAGCTAATGAGGAGAATTCATTCGGACGAGGATCAAGCAGGACTACAAAGGGTTCTGGACAGGCTAAAAGCCTTGTCCAGCAACTGGCTCCTAGAGTTTAACTCCACCAAGCGCAAAATCATGAAGATCGGGGAAGGGCAAAGAAGACCGCAGAGTACAGTCTAGGCCAAAGAGTGTAAACCTCACTCAAGGAAAAGGATCTTGGGGTGAGTATAACACCGGGCACATCTCCTGAGGCGCACATCAACCAAATAACTGCTGCAGCATATCGGCGCCTAGCAAACCTAAGAATAGCGTTCCGACACCTCAGTAAGGAATCGTTCAGGACTCTGTACACCGTGCACGTCAAGCCCATGCTGGAGTATGAAGTACCAATTTGGAACCCACCCTTGATCAAGTAGGTCAAGAAATTAAAGGAAGTGCAAAGATTTGCAACGAGACTAGTCCCCGAGCTAAGGGCATGTCCTTGACCTGACAACACTGGTGTACAGGGGAGAGAGGGGAGGGTGTCATGATAACGACATACAAAATACTGAGAGAAATTGACAAGTTGGACAGAGACAGGATGTTCCAGAGATGGGACACAGCAAGAAGAGGTCACAATTGGAAGTTGAAGACTCAGAAGATCACAGGGATGTTAGGAAGCATTTCTTCAAAGAGTTGTCAGGAAATGAAACAGTCTGGAAAGTGATGTAGTGGAGGGAGGATCCATATATAACTTTAAGAAGAGGTATGATAAAGCTCATGGAACAGGGAGAGTGGACCTAGTAGCGACCAGCTGAGAAACGGGACCAGGAGCTATGAGTCGAACCCTGTAACCACAACTAGGTGAGTACAATGGAAACTGCAAAATTTCAAAAATATTAGCATACATGATACTCACCCAGGCAAAGCACCACCTACCCTGCAACACAGGAGTCACGTGACCTCATTGTCTACCTGTCCTCATCCCAATATGACATTCCTCAGGTCACCATGCGTCACTCACACGCCACTTTCCCCCCTGTATATATACTGTCATTTTAACCTCTGTGTGTTAGAAGTGACCAAGGTCCCAGGACCGAAAAGTTTCTATTAAATATATCCTAGTCTTTGCTCACGAGTCTTTCTTAAACCACACACATACTAACTTGACTCGGAGGTGCAAGGGATAAGGGAAGCAGCAAAGAAACTGTTCAAAACACGAAATATGGACTACGGAAGAGCGAGAGATTCAAACTCATGAAACTAATGGTGGGGAGGTCGAAGTGAACAAGGTGACAAATTTTCAGAAACTCTGAAAGTACTCGAGTGGGGTGAGCAGCCTAGGAAAAATGACCCCTCACAACAGAAACGACACGAGACAAGAGTATGAAACAGAAATCACTGTTAAGACAGTAAGAAAAATACACTGGTCAACAATTTTTGAAAAGGTGTATGCTTCTTAAATGAGATTAGTTAATTCTTATGTATTTTCATGTCCTAAATAAAATATATCACCTTGAGAAATGCTTATTGGCTACAGTTTTAAAGATACGAGACATGTCATATTTGATTATTTTATTATAATGTATATGTATTAGTATGTTTTAACTCTAATCCGTACCTGCTCTCTGCCTTTTTGCTTGATGCTTATAGTGGGCTGAAGAATCATCTCTTGCCAATGTCCAGCAATAATCTGCAAGCATTCTTGTGCCCCATTTGTCCTGGTACCATTTTTCCATGGCTGAAATATCTTGGTGAAACCTTTTACCATGTTCGTCACTAACTGTTCCAGAGTTTACTGGAAGAGAGTCTGAATATGAGTCCAAAAAGTGGATTTTAAGTGACATGTTACATCCCATGTTCTTGTAAGCCTTGATGAGGTTTTCCACCAATTCTTCATAGTTGCCTTCCTTTCTGTTTCCGAGAAATCCCTTCGCCACTAACTACAGTGCTTCCCAAGCAGCTTTCTCCTCCTCATGAAGGTCTGATTCAAAGTCACCATCTTTAAGAAGCTCTCGAATCTGAGGACCACTACGCCCTCTGGGGCAGTACTTATCTCAAGAGATGAGTACTGCCAAAGAGGGCGTTTTGTTGGAAAGAAAAATAGAGATGCGCTGCCTTTCCTTGATTGGAATCTGATTCCCACATATTCATCCTACGCCGTATTAACCCCACAGGTTGAGAGCTTCCTCCATGAACGTAATAATCGTAACATGACCAGGATTGCTTATCTCTCTTGTGATATGCACCACCAGTATGTCCTATGTTAGAAAAGAACACCATTTTTTTCCTAATACTGGGAGATGACAATTTCTTCCCTTCATTCTTCACTTCTTTTATTGTCTCCAGTACAGAAGTCGACTTTATATTCAATTTAAAGGGCCTGCTGCGCAGGCGGAAACTTTCGACAATATATATACCTAACTGACGCACATGTTTCTTATTCATCAGTTTGTCGATAATGAATAATATGATTCTCGTCTGGATGATTCACGAGAGAATGAAATATTAATTCTGGGTGAGTGGTATCTTTCTCAGAGCGAATGATTTACGAGGGAGAGTCAAACATAAATCACTCAGAAGTGACACACAAAACTCAGATGACTCGATAGTGAGGTGGCT